ATAATCTCATGGGAAACAGAGACGCAGTGATTACAGGTTTGCTTTACCACGTGACCTGACAGAGATTGGATCAAGCCGGCATGGCATCCTAGCCTCAATTTATTTATTTATTTTTTGAGACGGAGTCTCACTCTGTTGCCAGGCAGAGTGCAGTGACGGGATCTCGGCTCACTGTAACCTCCGTCTCCCGGGTTCAAGTGATTCTCCTGCCTCAGCCTCCCCAGTAGCTGGGATTACAGGTGTGTACCACCACACCCAGCTAATTTCTGTATTTTTAGTAGAGATGAGGTTTCACCATGTTGGTCAGGCTGGTCTCGAATTCCTGACGTCAGGTGATCCACCCGCCTTGGCCTCCCAAAGTGCTGGGATCAGGCGTGCACCACCGCGCCCGGCCCCCAGCCTCAGTTTACTGAGTGCCTAGTGCACAGTCACTCCTCTCAGCATTTCATGGTGATTAATTCACTTGATTTTTGTGATAACCCTTTAAGGTAGTGACTGTTACCCTCATTTTACAGATAAGGAAACTGAGGCCTGGGGTTAAGTAAGTTGCCCAAGAAGATAGAGTTCAGGACACAGTGGGCCTGCTTACTAGTCCTTCTAAATCATACTGGAAGGCCTGATTGCAACGGGAAATGTTGGTACTGAGGACATGGGTTTATAATTTAGAGAAGAAAAATTATAAGAACAGATAAGGGACTGACGAGTGAAAGGAACATTGTCATAAAGGGGCCCAAATATGCGGTGAAGCTATTTCTCCACAGCTGCAGGACTGGAGCCCACCAGGATGCTTAAGCCGGATGAAACTGGGGCCTGGTCAGGTGCCGTGGCTCACGCCTGTAACCACCACTTTGGGAGGCCAGGGCAGGGGAATCACTTGAGGCCAGGAGTTCAAGACCAGCCTGGGCAACATAATGAGACCCTGCCTCAACAACAGCAACAGCAAAAATTAGCTGGGCGTGATTAGCATGCCGCTAGTTCCAGCTACTCAGGAGGCTGAGATGGGAAGATCACTTGAGTCCAGGAGGTTGAAGCTTCAGTGATCCAAGATAATGCCCCTGCACTTCCGCCTAGGCAGTACAGTAAGACCCTATCTCAGAAAAAGAGAGAGAGAAACAGAAAGAAAGAAAGAGAGAGAGAGAAAGAAAAAAGAAAGAAAAAAGGAAAGAAAAAAGAAAAAGAAAGGAAAGAAAAGAAAGAAAATTCAGTCCAGATGGATTAGAGGCAACATTTGTTTGGGGTTTTTTTTGAGATAGGGCCTCACTCTGTCACCCATGCTGGAGTGCCGTGGCTCAGTCTTGGCTCAGTGTAGCCTTGACTTCCTGGGCTCAAGTGATCCTCCTGCCTCAGCAGGGACTACAGGCGCCCACTACCATGCCTGGCCAATTTTTGTAGAGGTGGGGCTTTGCTATGTTGCCTGGGCTGGTCTCAAACTCTTGGGCTCAGATGATCTTTCTGCCTTGGCCTCCCGAAGTGGAAACATCTGGTCTTTTGTTTTCATTCCTTGTTACTGTCCTTTGATATTGACCCAAGGATCAATTGTGATAGCCCATGCCCATCCCTCGTCTGTCTCTGAAGGACAGGTCCCGTAACCTTGAACTCCTCTGGCTCTCAAAAGGGAGCTGGGAGTTGCTGCTTGAATGCCCTCCTCCCCAGCTCCAGGGGCTTTGAGAGTGGGCTTCGGAGGGCAGGGCATCTGGGGACCCTCAGGTGTCTTCCTCTCACCCTGGGCAGGTGGAGGAGCGGCGGGAGCGCTACATGGACTCCTATGACATCGTGCTGGAGAAGGACGAGACGCTGGATGTGGTCAACGGGCTGCTACAGCACATCCTGCGCCAGGGGGACCAGTTGGAAATGCAAGGCCCCTGAGGGCGCAGGCTCCAGCCAGGCCTGCGGGCCATGGTGAGGAGGGGGCACCTCCCTGGAGTCTGCTCGCCTGTGAACACAGAGCAGAGGCCAGGGTGGCCAGCAGCAGCCAGGTCCTTCTATGCCCTTCCGTCCTCCTTTCCTTGAGCGCGTTCATCACCAGAGGCTTGAGGGGCCCCATCTTGTGGCAGGGCACAAGCACTGTTCCTGGTGAACCTGGGACCATAGCATGCCAGTGCTCTAGGGATCGTCTAGTCCAGGGATTTTTTTTTTTTTTTTTTCCAAAACTTTTAAATGTGGGAAATTGTTATTCAAACAAATGTAATGTGTAAAACAGATCAAAATTTTAAAAATGAAACACCAGCTGTTTTGATTAGAAGATGTGGGTGGGGGTAGAACCTGGACCTCTTTGCCCTGGGGGCACATGTCATGTGATACTTCTGGGGCTCCACGGAACACAGTTTGAGAACCGCCACAAATTAGCCTGGGAGTCCGTCTGAGTGCAGCCTGATTATATCTGTGTGGTTCAGGGTGGCGCTGAAAGGATATATTCTAGCCTACAGTGGTTTGTCTTTATTCTGCTTCAGCCATCAAACTTGAAACTCTGTTGGGATTCATGGGGTTGAGGCAACCCTGAGCGCCCCCTCTTCAGGGCTCCCCTGGGGGACGCATGTGGGTGTGGATTTCCCCTCGAGCCCTAGGTTCTCCTTTCCCCACCTCTTACAGATCATGGACACTAAAGTGGATGACCTGAAAAGGGGAATTTAGAGCAGGGCCCTGAGGGAGGCTGGGCCGTGGTGAAACACGAGTGATGTGTGCACTGTGGTCTTGCATTATTGGGCCGACTTCACAGTCTCTTTCCCTTCTTCCCTCCCTGTTGACTTGGATGGTCAAGAACTAGCTGATTCTCTCTAGGGCACTTTTCGAAGAAAAAATATAGAAGAGCCAGTTCAGGCGGGGCATGGTGACTCACTCCTGTAATCCCAGCCTTTGGGAGGCCAAGGTGGGTGGATCATGAGGTCAGAAGTTCGAGACCAGCCTGGCCAACATAGTGAAACCCCATCTCTACTAAATCAGCCGGGCATGGTGGCAGGCCCCTATAATCCCAGCTACTCTGGAGGCTGAGGCAGGAGAATCACCTGAGCCCAGGAGGCAGAGGTTGCAGTGAGCCGAGATCGCGCCATTGCACTCTAGCTTGGGCAACAGAGCGAGATTCT